GATCGGCGCGCTTTTTTGCGTTGATCTTTGGCACCCCAATGCTATTTTCCATGCTCTGATCGCTCGTTGTTCCAGTTCCTCCATTTTTGGTTTTGTCTGTCGTTCCTTGGGTTTCACATCTAGGAACACTAATTAAAGGTCATATAAAATAAATCTAGGATAGCGCAGTTGAGCGTAGTTGCTTAGCTTCCAACCAAGATTGACAACAACTTTTATCAATCCCCCGCGGGGTCTTCCTGACGGGGGCGGGGTCGGGGGCTACTGCATAGTAATCAATAATAAGGGTTCAGGGGGTTCAGCGGCGCGCCTAGCCTCGAGGGGTCTTTTGGAGTGATTTGATCTACATGATCAACCCTCCGGAGGTCCCTAAAGCAAATGACCTGAAGGCTTTACCTATTTAAGCCGCGTTACTACCAGCTCGGGGTGGCAGGTGGACCTCTCTGGCCAGCATCTCTAAAGGTTCGTTCTCATCTCCCTCCATGACATCGTTTTAGTAGTTTACACCCTGTTGAATGATTCTTGTAGGTTGAAATAGTGTTTGGACGGGTAGTTTCCTAAATGGCTTTCGACTTTTCCAGGCTCTGAAGAAGGTGAAAGCACCGAAACGTCGGCCTAATAAAAGTTATTGTCAATCTTGGTTGGAAGCTAGCAACTACGCTCTCATATTCTGGACTATGCCAAGATTTATTCAAAGTCGAACTTAGGACATAAATCTAGGCTTTTCCTACCAATTTCTATCAAACACATCCAGGATCAAGCCTAATTGCAGAGCATTTCGAATATGGCGCTCCGATTTTCTCTGAACTCGTCTTTAACTATGTAGCTATAAGAATCAATGATATTTGCCTTTGATGTAAGAAATGCCGGGATTCCACAGATAATGGAAAAAATCCATATCAAGCAAATCACAGCCACGGTAGCATGTTTCCCTGGGCGTCGTCGCATTGGATGCACGATAGCCGAATACCTAAATAGTGACAAGAGTAAGGCTCTCAGCAAAAGCCCAGAGGGAATAAGTAATTCGGTTAGGCGGAAAACTCCCTGGAGCAAAAAGCTCACCTGTCAATGCTCATCACAATCATCGTTGAACACACTGGCGCATATCGGAGTGATACCCATCATATTGTTGAAACGGCAGTAAAACCATCCCAATCTAAAAAAAAGAATGTTTCCTAAAAAGAATTGAGGGACGGGGTAAGGTTTGAGTTGATTGAATGCTTTTCTTCTCGACAATTCAAGTCTGTTGAAAAATTGGTTTTCCGACCAGTTCAGCCTGTAAAGATGGAAATGCTCAATAAGGGAATGTTCTGGAGAACGAAGAGCAAAGTTTCTCACTCTTGCTGCTAAGCATGAGAAGTTCTGCTTAATCAGGCTCCGACATGAAGCTGAGTGAGAGGTAGACTGGACTTCGTTCTCATACAATTCAGTACGTCAAAAAATTAGTCGGGTAGAGTGACTCTACGTGGATTCCAAAAGAGAATTCCACGATAGGATAGATAGTTCAGAGGTAGAAAGTAGGGAAGGATACCTACTGTAAAGGCAGGAGGGAGCCCCTAAGTATGTGGGACGAAGCGAATTTGGTTGCGAAGGATGTGTCCCAAGCGGCCTAGCAGGGCCCTACTGGCGACCCTCGTAACGCTAAACGCCCACCAAGAGCTGAGTAATAACGGAAGCGTGCCGGATGCCGCTGCTAAAATCGCCATCGTTTGCTTTTCATTCTGAATGGACACCTCATCTCATACAGCCCTGTTTCAATTTTCCTAGGTATTGTGTTATCAATCAAAGGAGGATGTTTGCTGGCATGATACTGGCTGTAGGGATTAAAATGTGCAAGCGAGCTCCTCTTGGTTGCTGGCTCATCAAAAACGGGCCAAAAAGGGGTCCCATTTCTCGCAAGTTTTTTCTTCACCACAGCTTTTTGATCACCACTGCTATGATTGCTAAGAGCAATCATCTTGAACTATAACCCGTTGATTTAGTTCTGAATTTGAAATCTGGCTTATTTGTCGCGCTTTTCTTGCGAAAGCTTAGCTTCTCCCGGGAAAAGGAGCTAAAGTTAACCATCCATTGGCGATCTCGTCCCAGTTATCACAACGATGTCAAAAGTTTGAATCGATTTTGTGCTAATGGAGTTGCCTTCCAAAACTGCTGTCATAAATTTGCATCGCTTAGATTATCCCACGTCACCTACTATTGTCTACATTAGTAGCATTTGAAGGGAACTTTATGAAAGTGCATTCGGCGAATCAAATCGTCGACGTTTACAATTATTGTGAAAGCCAATAGTAATTCCTGTTGGACCACATACAGGGGGGGGCAATAAAAAAGACATTTTGTCTCCAGACTCAAATGGATTTAATCACACTTTGCTCAGCTCAAAGCGTGTGCTCCCAACTTAGAATTGAA